CCTGGGTTTATTTCTAAAATCCTCAGGTTTATCCCTTAAAAACTCCCAGATTTAACCCTAAAATTCCCAGGTTTCTCTCCAGAATCTGGGAAGATTTTGGGATCATTTCCTGCAGTCCCAAATCTCCTTTTCTCACTGAAAAAAACCCAAAGGACACCGAGACCCCTTTGGGATCAGGATGGAAATCCAGAAAAATCCTTTGGGATCAGGATGGAAATCCAGAAAAATCCTTTGGGATCGGGATGGAAATCCAGCAGGATCCATTTGGGATTGGGATGGAAAATCCAGTTGGATTTTTTGGGGTTGGGATGAAAATCCTATAGGATTTTTTGGGATGGGGATGAAAATCCATCCTGTAGGATTCTTTGGGTTCAGGATGAAAATCCAGCAGGATTTGAACGGGATTGAGATGAAGATCCAGCAGGATCCATTTGGGATTGAGGTGGAAATCCAGAAGGATTTTTTGGGTTCAGGATGAATTCCATTGGGATTTTTTGCTATGGGGATGAAAATCCTGGAGGATCTGCATGGGGTCAAGATGAAGATCCAGTAGGATTTGTGTGGGATTGGGATGAGAATCCAATTGGATTCTTTGAGTTCAGGATGAAGATCCAGTTGGATTTTTGGGGTTCAGGATGCAAATCCAGTTGGATTTTTTGCAATGGGAATGAAAATCCTGTAACATCTGCATGGGGTCAAGACAAGGATCCAGCAGGATCCATTTGGGATGGGGATGAAAATCCAATTGGATTTTTTGGGTTCGGGATGAAAATCCAGCGGGATTTTTTGCGATGGGGATGAAAATCCTGCAGGATCTGCATGAGATTGAGATGAGGATCCAGTAGGATCCGTGTGGGTTCAGGATGAAAATCCAATTGGATTTTTTGGGTTCAGCATGAAAATCCAGCGGGATTTTTTGCGATGGGGATGAAAATCCTGTAGGATCTGCATGGGATCAAGATGAAAATCCTGTAGGATCCATGTAGGATGGAGATGAGAATCCAGCTGGATTTTTTGGTTTGATGATGAAAATCCAGTGGGATTTTTTGCGATGGGGATGAAAATCC